ATTCGATAAAGTTACACCACTACTAGACTAGTCAGCGCTGACTGCAAAATCACGCACGGGTTCGAATCCCGGCTACTCACTTTCCTCATCACGCACGGGTTCGAATCCCGGCTACTCACTTTCCCAAGCACCATTATGTTCTTTGTTCACGCACGGGTTCGAATCCCGGCTACTCACTTTCCCAAGCACCATTATGTTCTTTGCAGTCATTCACGCACGGGTTCGAATCCCGGCTACTCACTTTCCCAAGCACCATTATGTTCTTTGCAGTCAGCGCTTGGCGAGGGGTCCGTCCCCGGAGATCCAAGCCGTAAACCCCAAAAATGTGATCCAGTCGGGTGCTAACGAGCTGAGCGTATATCTTTTATTCGATAAAGTTACACCATTAGACTAGTCTAGACAAGTCAGCGCTGACTATAGTCTAGTGGTGTAACTTTATCGAATAGGTGACACCTGTTCTGGCGTGCTTAGCAGAAGGGTCATGCGCAATCTTTCGCCGCGCGCTTGTGCCTAAGCCCTTGCAAGGGATAGGCCTACGTCCTCAATGGCGGCAAAGGCTCGTTTATGACCTGACGGCAGTGCTAGACGTTGCATGATGTATGTGCTGTTGATGTGCATTTTTTGTCTTCAGCAACATGCGTTCAGCCGCGCTTGCCGGATCGCATCCGATCCTGCGTGTTTCTACTACTGTTGTTGTGTTGCCTACTGAAAGGCACCGGAAGGGCACTGATCAAACGGGCAGGACACTGTTAGATTGCCCATCGCTCGGGGTGAGGCATTCTTGGTACCAGAGAGAGAGAGAGAGAGAAGACAGCCATCGTGCACGGAGTGCTGTGTTGATCAGCAGCTACGAACCAGCCTTTGTCTCTAGTTTGTGGGTGATTGCGATGTGTCCGTTGCGAATACGTGCAGCGTAAGTCCATGGTGGGTGTGGGCCTTCCCCCTTCAGACCGTTCGGGGTGCACCTGATACTCTATCCCCGGCCCCGGCCACGGCACATGCCCTATTTGCTCGTGCTGGCTGCGCGCAACTCCGCGGGCGCTGCTCGCAACGTATGTGTGCGGCCAGTCAGACTTCGTCGTTCTTCTTCCCTTTTCTATTTCCAAATGTCGGACTAGACTATTGGTGTAAACAGCTTTTCGTGCCTCCCGGAAGAACCAACATTTCAATTTTTTTCGCCCACATCAGCCCCAACGGCTGCCACACATAAAGAGGTCGCGGTCCACGCCCATGGCTCTTAAGCTGCGCGACAAGTCCCTGGCGACCATACTGGCAACCTTGGCTCATCGTGGTGGTAAGCTGGTGAGTGTGCATCAGCACAAGGCTCCGAAGAAGTATCGTGTGCAACTGACGGCCCAAGTGCATGGATCCAGACAGCGCTGGTGCAGCCCATACATCGAGTTTGCGAAGGGCAGAACCACGGGTCGCGACTGGGCGGCCGAGGACCGGTGGGCTGCTACCTGGCGGCCATCCTTCTGTAGCGGCAACGTGCCCCACAACGATGCAAGTGCAGGCGAAGCCGAAGCTGCGCCTCCCCGAGAAAAGCGGCCGCGGGACTGTCAACATGCTGCGGCATCCACCGGAGATGCACCGCCTGGAACGCGCGGCGGAGCACGCCCTGGAGCAGGCAGACCAAAGGGAAGCTACGGCAGGAAGAGGCTTCCCCAAGCTGCGCAACAGCTCAATNCCTCCCCGAGAAAAGCGGCTGCGGGACTGTCAACATAGACTATGCTGCGGAATCACCGGAGATGCACCGCCTGGAAAGCGCGGCGGAGCGCGCCCTGGAGCAGGCAGACCAAAGGGAAGCTACGGCAGGAAGAGGCTTCGCCAAGCTGCGCAACAGCTCAATTATTATCTCGAGCGAGGGCAGCTCCAGTGTGCGCAGATGGTCTCGCGCGATCTTCCTGGAGCGATGTCGTATGCAGTGAAGGAGGCGCACCAGCAAGAAGAGGTCTATCGACCAGCGTTCCTCAAGCGCCAGAGCAACAGGGGTGTGGGCAGGAAGGAGGCTCTTCGCAAGCTGGCGAAGCATCGATCGCAGCTGGAAAAGGCGGCCGTAGCATCTGCTGCATGTAGATCGGGCTGGGAGGGGGGGCAGGATTATTTCCGCGCCGTCATCAAGGAATGTCAATCCTGTAGCAGTCACACCTGCTGGACTCAATGTAAGAGAGTTTGGGCTACACGATGCAGTGTAAATGTATGCATGCGTTGATCGCAGGTCTCGTGCTGCAAGCACTGCTGTTGGTTGTAATACTGTGCGGTTGTCGCCATGCTGCTCCTGCTGCTGCCGTATGTATTTGATGTGGTGCCGCCCATGTACATGTCTGGGTGAAGTTGCGCGCGACTGTTGGGCCGCAAGAACCACTCCGCCCCCACCCTTGTCTTTCATCCCCGCTGCTTGTCCCGATGATCTCACCATTGATTTTGCCCCCTTTCCTACCTTACGTACATGCAGGAGTCTGTTCTCGTCTCGCATGCGCAAGCCGGCAGCCTGCAGTTCAAGGCCTTGGCTCTGAAAGGACTTTACCACATGCTGCTCAGGGGGGTGTCCAAGAGGCAAGCTTTCGAGGAAACGGCGGAGTTTTTTGAAGTGGCATCCAGCACCCCCCGTGAGTGGGAGCTTTCCTACCGTACCAAGGGCCACATCCAGGTGAGAGGAGATATGTACCAGACATCCGTTTCAACCGCAATGAAAGATGTGCATGCCGTAGACTCTGCATGTGGCGATGAACATAAAAAAGTACTGCTGTAGCTCAACATGCTCGCCGGCCGTTGCGGTGAACATGCTCCCTCCGTGCAACGCAGGCGCTATTGCTCCCTTTCCATCCCGCACCCGTGCATGCTTTTGAGCCACCCTTTCCCTTTTTCTCGACAATGCGGTGTTCTTNACTCTGTATGTAGCGTTGAACATAAAATAGTACTGCTGTAGCTCAACAAGCTCGCCGGCCGTTGCTNTGGCATCCAGCACCCTCCGTGAGTGGGCGCTTTCCTATCGCACCAAGGGCCATGTCCAGGTGAGAGGAGATATGTACCAGACATCCGTTTCAACCGCAATGAAAGATGTGCGTGCCGTAGACTCTGTATGTGGCGATGAACATAAAATAGTACTGCTGTAGCTCAACAAGCTCGCCGGCCGTTGCTGTGAACATGCTCCCTCCGTGCAACGCATGCGCTATTGCTCCCTTTCCATCCCGCACGCGTGCATGCTTTGAGCCACCCTTTCCCTTTTTCTCGACAATGCGGTGTTCTTTGTCGCGTGCACCCTTGCTGTATTTGAAGGTGAACCAGAGGGGGAAACACGAACGGCGGTGGATCCTGAGCTTGGACGAGGGTCTTCTCGTGATGGTACGCCAATGGATCCGCGTCAACTGTATCAAAAATGGGGAGCCCAACATGACAGCCGAGGGCTTCCGCGAGTACCTCAACAAGGACGTCTTGCCACAGGTAGCAGACACCAAAACGTGCGACTACGACCCCTTCAAGCACGCTCCTGTCACCAAGACGACGACTGAAACGGCATCAGGAGAGATAGTGGTGTCGTACTCGGTGACCGTTCGCACGGCGCGCTCCTGGCTGCACAAGCTGGGGTGCGAGTACCACGATCGCAAGTCGGGCCTGTACTGACGGCCATGACCGCACAGACGTGCTCGCGTACCGGGTCGAGAAGTACGTCCCGGCGTACTTTGAGCACCGCGACTACAGTAGAGCTAGTGTGGGGTAGATCCAAGTATTGGGTCCGGCAGCACTGTAAGTACACTATCGCGTGCTTGCGGAC